AAATAGTTGAATATGGCTTATTTTCTTGTTTATTAGCATGGTATCAAGCAACCAATAAAGGTTAAAAATCCAGTTACATAATAGAAGAAAAATCCTTTCACTTTAAAGTCAACATTTTTCAGCCACGTCTTTTACTTTCTGCTCAGTGTCCCATTTCAGTGAGATTTAACCTCTTAAGGAAATTGTTTTAAAAGCAGTTAAAAATAATGATTAAATTATGGGATTTACATGAAAGAAATCCTCGGCCCATTCATATTTTTTTAAATCATGGTAATTTGTTTTTTAAAAGGTGTTTGAAGTCCTTGAATCTACCTCTTGGCACCATTAAAAAAGAGTAGTTTATAATCCCCTAATGTGCTTAAATAAAGCCTTCGATAGTTTAAATTGTTATTAAACATCTTTTGGGATTATAATTTTATGGCTTTTTTTGCCTGATTAGATGATGAACGTGAAGATCATCAAATACTCATCATATAACAAACCAATTACATCGTATAATCCCCAAAATGAGGTTTGAATACCAACATTTTAAATTAAGCTGGATTTAAAGTATGCAGAGAATTGACAATGAGAAAAAAAACCAAACACTTGAAACAACACACCCCAAACTCCCTTCTTCTAGTTTTTAACAAAAAGGAATTTATATCAATTCCAAATACCAATTTATACCAAAAAACTGGGACAAAAGCATACAATGGGTTGAAGCAGAAACTAATTCTGTTGCCACAATTAAATTTACATATTTAATTGTAAGCAAGATTATTTTTTTCTTCCCCTTCCCTCTCTCCAAGGTTTTCCTTTATTTCACAATTCTTGCTGAGGGTGAGGGTCTCCTCACATTACAGTGAGGAGATCTGCTTGAAAAATGGGGGGAAGAAATGATCCCTGAATATTAAATGATCCAAGAAATAATTTTTAAAAATTGTTTAAAAAGTCTAAAAGGCCCATGAAACATTGTTGGGTTGCAACACAACCCGAAATTATCTTTAGAGTGACTTTCTGAAGGCCAGAGACAGCACAGAACTAGTTTGCCCCAGCCCCTCCTCCAGCCCCTGCCATGGTATTTGATGTTCATCTGAAGCCACTCCACAAGCCTCTCCTCAATTCTGACTCCCCGTTAACAGTTCAGGGATGTCCTCACCTCTTCCAATTATTAGAAGTTTTTTCTTCTTCTTTTATTTTTTTTCCTTTAATCCACATAGTAACCAGGCTGCCATCTCAAATTTATAGCAAAATCCTAAAAATAGATTTCATAAACCTCCAAATTTACCAGTTGTCATAATCTACCAGCAAAAATTTCAACAAGCTCCACAACTACATTTTGCCCATCTAAGAGCCAGCCTGAGCAGCTCTTCCAACCCACACGCTTAATCAAAATTAAGTCAGAATAGCAAACAGTTAAAAAAAACCCCCAAACCTGCGCAGTCCTAAGTGTGAGTCTGCTCGGCACTTTTGCAATTGTTTTAGCTGATTGTTTTTGTTGTTGTTGTTCCAAGAGGAAAAAAAAAAATTTAAAAAAGGCAATTTGGATGAAGTTATTCCCTATATTGCTTCAGAGCATACTGCCTGCATCTGCAGAGGACAGCGCTTGCCTACCCTTTGGGCATATGTCAACTTAGTTCTGCACATCAGTCAAAATATTTGGGGGGGCTGGAGCCTGACACTGAGTGGGAACTACTGCCCAAACATTTCAACATCCGGAGAGAAAAAAAAAAAAAAGGATTTCCTCCCAAGTGAGAAACAAGAACTAGGGGACAAACCTTCGGAAATGAAGTCAGTACACAGAGGAAGACTTAATGCTCTTGGAGATGGAATAACTGCATAGAAGGAACTAAACCAACCTTTTGAAAGATTACATTCGTCCAACATTTATTTTAAGTCTTTCCAACCAGTAATCATTAGTATGACAGACACAGCAATTACTGTCTATTTTGTTTAATTCCATGCTGCTGATGTGTATTAATATTACAATTGCGAGGTGTAAAAAAAAAAAAATTTGCTCCTGAAAAGGAGGGCTCCCGACTAACACCCCAATTAGGAAGCACCAGTGGTCAGGGGGATGCTGGATTTTGCACTTAACTGCTGCTCATTTCTTCCCTGCCATTTTTCAGGTGGCAAAGTGAAGGCAGGTAAAGCACAGGGGCCTGCCCTGGCATATCCCCCGCCTGAATAGAACCACCTCCCTGTCTTTCCTCACCTCCCACTTTAGAGAGGACCTTGTGTTCACCCTACGAAAGACCAAATCCACCGATAAATAAATAGATGGATGGATAAATAAATAAATAAATGGTGTGGGATCTCTAGTTTCCCTGGAATGATCTCCCTCCTGCAGCAAGGAAACCAGCTGGGGATACCACCAAACCACCGTGCAGGGTTTTAAGAGCAGTCATGAAAGCCGAATGCCCTTATAAATGTCTCTCCCCCCCGCTACTCCTCAGCTCTGATTGGAGCCAGTATTTGGGCCTGGGGTTTTCTTGGTTTTTTTTGCAGAGAGGACAGCACCCCAAGCAGCCTGTAAACACTCTGCATTGCTCTAGCACCAGGAAGAGCCTACAGTGTTCTCCAGAAATGTTTTAATTTGAGGAAACTGGCCAAGATCCCACCTAGAGTCTGTCTCAAGGCCCTACCTGAAGAAGACTGGACTGGATAAACCAGTTCTGTTTTACTGAATTGATCAGAGAACTCTGGATCTACCATGCTGCCAGGAGAGGAGAAAGCTGCCCTGCAATAAAAACCACCTGCTTCACCTGGTTGGTCTGGATCTGCACAGGGGATGGTGGATTTTTCAAGCAAGCTTTAGCTCAGTGCTGCAAGGTAGAAAATGCAGCATCTTCATTGTATAGGTTCTGGGGGGAATGGTTCTTCCTGTATTTGCGTCTTCCAGAAGAAGAGACCATCTTACAAGCAAATGTTCAGACGTTGTCTCCCAGGAGCTGCAAGGAGCCCTTCAGCAAGTTCTACAGGCACTCTCCTCTTCTGCACACTATTACCTCACAGGAGAAGAGTGAAAAGCCACTGGAACCCTACAACTAACCCAGATGAAACAGTGAGGGGGTCCTGAGACTGTGCATGAAACTAGTTGCAGGGTCAGGTCAAGCCCATGTAGTTAAATGCTCAACACAGGGTGGTTCCTGCCACAAGGGCTTTTTGGAGACACCCTGTAGCCTTCTGCCTTCCCAGGAATGGTTTGGAAGAGGGTAGCTGGTCCAGGCTAAGAGCATGATGAAGACTGCTCGAGCAGTTTACCAGGATAGACCCTCACATTCCTGTGCTTGGGTGTGGGTGATGTTTTATTTACCAGCACAAACACAGCAATAGGACACTCTCAGGAAAAGTATTTATGCTACTTAATCTGCAATTCCTCACTGGAAACTGCAGGGACTGGCATGCGGCTCAGCGTTTCCTGGTGTGCCTTGTCCTGGCTGCAGAGTTTCCAGGGCATCTCCTCAATCCAAAACCTAAACCAGCTCTGCCAGGTTGGTTGTTGTTGGCACAGCATCCCTGGACTGTTCGGAGGTGGATGTCCTTTACCTCACATCTACCTGCAGAGGGAAGCCAGGCATCAGCTCACCTTGGGTGAGGACCTCAAAATGGGGAGCTGCCAACACATAAAGGGACCTCAGCCTTTGGAAGTGATGGCACTGAACGCACCACGCAGGGATAAGGAGCAGGCAAAGCTGGGGCACGACGGACATGGAGTCTGCCAGAGAGAGAGATTAACTTGGAGATATCCGAGGCCCCCTCTGGCCTCAGAGGAGTAATGCTCCAACATGAAGGTTCATTCATAGCAACCCAGGACCGCACGGGACAGGATTCCCTGCCTGATCCCCGTGCTGACAAGAGTCATGGCAGGTATCTGGTTTCTTGGCTCAGCTGGGGACGGAGGGGTGATGTGCATGAGAGCTTCCTCCACTTTACAGCTATACTCTTGGCACAGCTCCCACCAGGGCTGGGCAAGCTGGCCAGCTTATAGTTTCATCCTGACCCTAACTACAGGCAGAGGGGAGAGTCAACCACTGGAATTAGAGGGAAGAGCCATTCTTCACTACTACCAGCAGACCCTCAGTACCTCTCTCCTGACCCTTATCCTCCTGGCATAGAAAGGCTGAGATAGAAAACCTGAGGCTGAAAGCTCATATCCCCACAGTGGATAAAAGCATAGTGACAGATCACAATTTGATGAAAAAGGAGAATGGCATTAGAAACACTTTTCTAAATGCTAACATTAGAAGGTGTGGTACACAATATAAAGCTTTGAAAGCAGCTCCAGCATCCAGCTTAACCCCACACACCTGTCCAGAGCTTTGATTTCAAATCCCAGGAATAAAAAAACAAAAACATACAGTAGCTGTGGTAACAGAAATAGCTGCGCATCCCCCCACCACTTTCTAACATTAAATACGGGGGTAACTTACACTCTGGGAATGAGAATGTCTCAAAGAAAAAAATTACACTTTGCTATTAAACCAGATACATTCAGACCTTTCATCATGAAGCTTCTGATGATCTCTGACAAACATCTGAATATGGTCTTTGTTTGCTTTTGGCTTTGTTTTTTAATCTCCCCAATTGTTTTCCGCAGCTCTCCGGAGCACAGAACCAGGGGCCGAATGCTGCTCTGTGCCCCAGAGCAGCGATTCCCACATCAGCTGAGCGGAGCTGCAAAGCAGGACAGGTCTGCGGGGTTATATTCATAGAAGCTTTAAGTAGAAATCACATTTCGCAGTGACGTCCTGTTAACAACTGCGTCTCAAACAAACAAACAAAAAATATCTAAAAACAACACGCGCGCACACACACACACAAAACCCCAAACCACCAAAACATACACTCTGTGCTCTTCCCCTGGCATCTAGCAAATGAGGCAACAACAGCTCTGCCCGGAACAGTTCCTCAGCTGCCTGTCAGCAACATCATACGTATTTTTTGCTTTCTACGACTACTACAACTATGACATTATCCATGTTTTATTTTGCATATGTGATCTAGAGTTCACTTACTGTTAGATGCTGGAACAGCCATGCCCTCATGATATTTGTGGCTACTTTGGGAAAGATGCCACGCTTTTTATGTCGCTTTTTGTCCTTATCTGGATCATCATCATCACCTGTGCTGGGGGAAGCTACACTGTTGTCCAAGCCGTCACCTGTAAATATAGTGAATCAAATTTTGACTTATGCTACCTTTATATACTTCAGCCGAAGCCTGGCTTTGGGTATAAACTGCATGAATATTTAAATGAGGTATAAATTCTTTAACACCGTAATTCACCAGGGGTTGAGGGGATGGGGGAGGGAGGGAGAGACATGGGGAAAGGGAGGGTCTCAGAACTGTGTCGGCCCCATTCGGGTTTATCCTGAAGGACAGTGTGGCCATTTTTGCCATGGTAACCCAAAACAAAAAGTGCTTAAAAATTGTAAAAAACTTGCAAGCATCCAGCTTGCAAAGGTGGAAACGGTGGGTTTTCTTCACACTAGGTCACTTCCCAAAGATTCATCCCAATCAGCTACTTTGGTCGAGCTGACAATCAGGAAAGTGGTGTTCCGGGATGGGGACCATGACATGTGTGAAGCCGGGTGCCTCGTCCCACTCTGGGATGTGAAAAGCAGGGTGAATGCAGTTCTCTTGCTGCATCACATTCTCTCCACAAATTTGGAAATAACCAGATGACTGGGGCATCACTTATACTAAGTCTTTTACAGATGTCTGACGTCCCCTGACTCTTTGATGGGAGGTGGGCAGCTAACTGGCCTCCCCTCTTTCCAACCCCAGCCAAAAGAAACTCATAGTGGGATAAGCAAGCACCAATTTGACATACACCATTAGGAATTAACACCCTGCTTTGTTCCAGCGTGCCATATCCGTAATAGGTGTCTGCTCCTGTTAAACAATAACTGATCCAGAATGAATTTCCTTAATGCAGAGAAGGTCGCAGACAGTTCTCAACACATTACCAACATGTCTAGGGGAGGATGTCACTGCACAGCAGCCACCTTGGGTCTGGGCTGATGGGTTAGTGACCAAAGGAAAACAAAAGTTGCAGTGCCTGGCCAGTTTGCACGCAATTTTTGTTTCAAACCCTGGACACAGTTCATAAACAAGCCCACAGAGCAAGTAAGTCTTTGCATTCACTGCATGTGGACTGAACGGTGTATCCTGGCTTCCAAGGACACTGTATTTGTAGCAACATGGAGTTGTGATGTTATTAGGCAAGTGTTTTTTACACCCCTGGGCAAGAATGATCAAGAAAGCCATCTGAATTGGGCTGAAAACAAACTATCTCCATTAGGGACAAAAATAAAATACGTTTTTAAAAAAAGGGATGCAGACTGTCAAAATTGTGATTTGTTAAACAGCTTTCAGCACCAAAAAATAAAAGCTATTATTAGTGTTATATTTTTAGCATGTTACTGACCGTGGCAAATTTATAATTGTCCTTATGACTTGGCCTGTGTCTTTAATGAAATGGTAACCTTGGGTAGTTACAGAAACAAACAAGATTTTTATGAAGAAATTAGATATCCGACAAATTCTTTGAAAGCCCAGTATGTAAAAAAGGGCTTTTATACAGAGAAGCAATTCACCATATAAAATAATAATTCATAAAAGAAACATGAGCAAAGGAAACAACTCAACAGCATTTAAAATTCCACGGGCTAATCCACTTTCTGTCTGCGAGAGGCAAACAAGGAAAAGAAAAGTATTACGCATTCATTGATTAAAAATGAAAAGCTTCTAACCTAATGACACTGCCTTTCACCACCTCCCTGCCATCGTCCACCCACCCTCTCCCCCCACCCCATTTTTTTAAAAATACACTCATTTCAAACCCCCTTCAGATTAATTTAGCAGGCATTGCCTCATGCCTGACGGGAGGAGGACTCATTGATAATTTATGGAAATATCTACTATAATCCAAGGGAGATGACTTTTTTTCCAGCTTTGTGCATCAATAGATAATCAAGGCCTTCAAGCAGCCTTAGCTTCCCATTACCTCGGGCAAGAGAATTCCTGAAAGCATGCCTCCAGGGCACCTGAATTATATCCTCCATTAGGGGAGGAAAAGCTTTCTGCATTCCACCTATAACACTCCCCAGAACCTTTCCTGTTTATTTCTGCTGTATGAAAGCAGAAGCATTAGGAACAGGATTTTTTAAGTGAAGACTTATGTAGATACAATGGAGAAACCTTTCAAGCGCGAGCCAGATCACCTCCTTCAATCCCGGGCAGTGACCTATCCCAAATAAAAGGTTTCTGTTACATCATTAGCTCAAGCCAAAAACAGCCTTGGCTTAATGCACAGTTTGTTCTTCCTACTGTTTTTAGGCAAATACTGCTACTTTACTCCCATCTGGGAGGGAAATTACACTGCTGGGCTGTAATCTAAGACAAGATTTTCATTGGAAGCAAATGCTTTCAATCCAGTGTAAATACTGGTGTATGTTCAGAAAAGCCTAAAACAATAAACCCTGGCCTCGACCGACACAAGTTAGAGAAAGTGAAAAGCAGGGAGAGAATAAGAAAGTGCCCAGCTATCCTTGGAGCAAATGCTTCGGTAGACTTCTGTAAATTGTTTAACCTCTTCCACTTTTTTTAAATGGAAAATTGATCCCGTAAAGACTGAAACCACAGAGAGAACTCTAAATGGTCAATTGTGGATTTTAGTATTTCCATCTACTTTGCAACTCGATACACTCACCTCTGTGAGGTCTCCAGAGATTCCCCCCGCCCTTTCTTTTTTTTTTCCCCCCCCTCTTTTCCTCCTTTTAAAGATTACTAAACAAACTTGAAGCACCACTGACCAGCCACACGGTAGCAGCTACGAACTGCATTTGTAAAATGTCGGTGGCGACTCTGTTCCTGAAGTTGACTTCTCCTGCTGCCAAATGAAGGCGAACTGAAAAGGTGGAAATAATCATAGAAATGATGCTAGTCCATAAACAAGCTTACAGCCTCATTAGTATAGCGGGAGGCTCCGCTGGGTGATTTATGCTTGTTTTGCTGATGCCATGAGGAAATGCCATAGGGCAACTTTAGCCAGCTGCTAATGGTTTCTGACAGCTTCTTAGCAACTAGTGCAAGCAACGCCATGGCGTTTGCTAGTGACAGAAACTGAAAATGTCATATTATCTGCCCATGTGTCACGAAGTCCGTGTGGCAATTAACTAGTAGGCCAGTGACTGAGGGGCCACAGGCTCTTCAGAATGGCCCATGGCTATCTGGGGTCAAAGCGGGCGCACTGCTCGCCTTTACGCTGCACATATGCATGTGCGTATGTGCCGTCCCCACCGCGCTCCCTCCGCCCCGCTCGCCAAGGAGTTTGGTCCATGCGGATCCTTTGTCCATGGAGAAACTCCATCCCGCTTTCTCTTTAGGCATGGAGTGACATTATCAGAGGAATTGCAAGTAATCTGTCTTGATATGATGGTTGGAAATGGCACTTTAATTGGCAATACCTGATTCCCTGGTTTTGAGTGCTGGATCCGAAGGTGCTAGCTGTTTTTCTGCTCGCTCGCAAATTAGTCTAAAAGGATTTAAGATCACTGAAGCAGACTCGTTGCCTGTCAAATTGCTGGGAGCGCAGCAACTCTGCACAGCAACTAGACGCTGCTTAAAAAAAAAAAAGAAACAACAAAAAACCCGGAGCCTGTAAGGAGCAGAAGGAGAGCCCGGGCTCCGCACGCCCGCTCCCTGGTGAGCAAGACCAGGCGCTATATGTCAAACTGTCAAACCTTTCAGCGTGGCCGTTTGCCCTTTCAAATAATATTTAAGAATTGTTTTTACACAATTTTTTATAGGCCATGGTCTAGTGAAAGAGGCCAACCAACAAAGAAAGGAATTTGTACTACAATTCGTCCGTGCACGATTCCTTGCCAGACCTGGGCCAGTCCCCATGGAGCGAGGCAGGTGACCTGTGGCAGCTCCCTGGCTGTTGGGGAGCTCCGATTTCAAACGCCCTCGACTCTGGCGTCCCAGAGTTGCCTATTTAAGCACACCCAGGCATTTAGGCCTTGCTATCTTGTTCCTTTCAAGAAAGGATAAAGCAGTATTTATCGCATTCAGCCCTGCTGAATGGGTCAGGCCGGCCGTGCCAGCAGGGGCTCTTCTCACTGCGTCCCCCTCTCCGCTGTCATTGCCTCTTACGACTTCCCTTCCCCTCCCACTCCCCCAAAAATCAGAGGCAGAAGCAGCAAAGGGCAACCAAGTTTACAGCAGCCCCTCGAGTGGGTAATACTCTCTTTGTCCTGGGTGATGTGTTATGAACCTTTGTTGGCAAAATAGGTGCTTCTGGAGAGCAACTTGGCACAGGCACTCGCTTTCGGCAGCCATGGTTGTGGCAGGAGCTTGCTGGTGATTCAAAGCCTCCTCCCTTGCTCTCACACCAAACCCAAATTAAATGTCATCCCCCTGCGACACTGGAAAGACACACAGTGTGGCACAGATGGGCAACTTTCAGCCACTCCAGCTCCCAAATACGCCTCAGACCTCAACCATAGGAAATCCCCAGATATGACATAAATATTCCCAATCCCAAATCATGGAGGTTTCAAAAAGGCTGAAAATTCAGACATCCTAAAAATCCCAACCCTTTGCTCAACTACAAAATCCATGCCTTTGCACGTAACTCTTTTGACTAAGGTCCTTATATAATTTTAAGTGACCAGAAATCTCAGTAGCAAAGTGCCAAATACAGCTTTACTACAAGTACCTTCACCAGACTCAGCAGGTTATTTCTCCCTGGACGCAGCCCTGTCCCGGTATCAAATCTGCATTTGGAGGAAAAGTATTTTTTATATCAAAGAAAACCAGATTATTCTAAAAAGCCTGCTTCCCACACCTCTGCCAAGAGATGTGAGAGAGGTTTTTGGAGTCCACTGCTCAATTTGCTGAGAGGGGGTAAGAGGAGGGCACTAGACCTTTGCTGAGGTCTACCAAACAATAAGATGAACAACACCTTCCAGCTTTTGCAGTCCAGTTCTAGATAGGCATCTAAATCCACTGCTTTAAGGAGTTCAACGAAGGGAAAGATGTGCACTCAAAGCCCTAGGAAAGGCCTGGAGCAACTTTTAAGTGGACTGACTAAATCAGAGTTCTCTAGAAGCTCCCTATGTTGAACTTATTTGTATGCATTCAAATCTCTTCTGT